TATTACTCCTGTCTTAGAGATGAGGAATTAGAGGCGTAGGTAAGCAGCACCCCAAGGCCATCCAACTGAGATGAGGCAGAGGCGGGATCTGAGTCCAGCCACTGTGGCTCCTGTGGCCACACTGTACCAAAGCCTCTCAGCAAAGGCATGGTCACCGCAGCTGTTTTAGCGCTTTCTGGGCTGCAGGCAGCATTCTGAATGTATTGTTGAAGATGGCAGCCACCGGCCACAGGTGGGGGACTTGAGCCCCTGAACTATGGCCGCAGTGCTGATGGGCTGCTTGGTGTGCAAAGGGAAGCAGTCCACCCCACACTCAACCCTGGTTGTCACCAGCTCTGAGCCACAGTCAAGTAACTAGCAGCAACCCTGAGCTTAGAGTTAGACCTGGTCCTAGTGGTCAGACCCTTCACCTGCCCTAGAAACAAGGAAGCCAGGCAGGATAGAGATGGCAGAGCCTCACCCTTAGGATCCAGGCCACCCCATGAGAATGGGGAGCTGCTCTCTGGTACTGAGACACTTCTGATCACCAAGACCTTTGTCTCTGCCCTTTCTGCTCTCCATCACTGTCCACTTTCCTTTACATAAGCACACGACTGGACTGCACAGTTTACACATATAGGGAGGAAAATCTTGCCCATGGCTCTGCACATTGAGCAGAAGACCTCCAACCCCTTGGGCTTGGTAAGTTCTCCAACCCATCCAGCTCTTGATCCAGACTCAGACTCTCCACCTTGGGGCTTACTGGTGATGGCAAAGCCTTAATCCGTGCCAGGAACTTGGCGCAGAACCTGCCTCCTGTGCTGTTGTCAGCTGGTGTGTGTGCAGGGAGCGCAGACTCATTTTAATACTGGCCGGAGCTAAACCTCATTAGAAAAGTAAATTTGCTGTAGCTGCAGGGGAAAAATGCAAGCAATCCACACAACCTTCCCAAAGCTAAATAGAAAACACAGAGTTTCGACGGTTTGATGCAATATGTCCTAGTCACCAGGTACAGAGCCTGGGACACAGTAGGTACTTAAGAGTCAAGGCCAGTAGACTGAATTCTGGGTGACTTCTGGCCATAGTCACTTTTAGCATGGAGGGTAAATAGTCATAGATTTAGAGTGTTTGTAAATCTCAAAAAAAATTTCAACAACCATTTGCTGGTAATATGTAATGATTACAGTGAAAAATCACTAGATATGAAAATGTCAGTCTTGCTGCTTTTTAGTGGAGAGATGCTCTGGGTAATTTGGTTCTGGACCAGGAAGAGTTGGGTCTAGTTCAAAGTCGGAGGTTAGAGAGCTACATGTGTTAAAGGTGGGAGATAGACTGACTGTAGAAGGTCTGAATAGGGAGAGGCGTCTCCATAGATGGTTTGGATAGGGCCAGCCTAGATTAGCCGGGCTTGACCACTGGCCTTCCAATTCTAGAGCTGTCCAGATACTGGGAGAGTAGGGCAGGGAAGAAGAATGCATAAAATGTATAATGAAATTAACATTCATAGCCCTTGGACTTAACAGTCTAAAAGGATGATGATTCCCCAATTGACAGACTGTCAGGAAAACATGCCTCAGAGGACTCCTTTTCCCTCCAAGTCCACTTAGCTGGGGATGGAGGTACTGACATGTAGGACCTTGGTGAGCCCATCCAGCAGCCTGTCTCCTCTGGACCATGACCATGTCTCCTTGCTGGTCTTTGGGGGCATTTCCAAAGATCTTGTCTGGAGCCCCGGCAATAAGGATGCTACACGGAGAAGGGTTCTCTCCCTCTTCCCTAGGTATCAGACTTACCCATACTCTGCCTCCTGCCCCATCACACTACACTCCAGGACCAGGTAAGATGGGCAGAAGCCAGAAGGTGATCATTCCTGAACACTGGGCAGTGGCACAGCAGGAGGGTCTCTTTCATGGTCCTGGAACACTTTGCTTTTGAGTCCATGACCTATCTCTGCTGTGAGCCTGCCTGACTCCATCAGAGTCTTTCGCAGTGGACAGCCCACCGGCTCCAGCGAGGGGCTTCCCCAGGAGAGGATGACCCACAATGTTGGGATGCTGCAGATGTGCAGAGGAAGGCTTCATATATTCCGACTTCTGCTGCACCTGCCTAAGGTTTCACTCTACCTCCTCGCTGCCTGTCTCATGCTCTGATTTCTCCTTTGGCTGAGGCCTCGCCTCTCCTACAGTTGTCAGGCAGAGGAGCACCCAGAAATCCTCATTCTTCTCTTCTAGCCACATGGGACCACCAGAATCCCTGGCTCAGAGCCTGGCTTCTTGGTTAGCTCGTCCCTTTCCATATCTTATCCTTGCAAAATCTTATCACTCCAGGCTCCATATCATGAAGACACGATAGACTTGATCCCCTCCCCTAAAAACTATGGGAAAAAAACCAAGTGTATTGAAAAGCCAGAGCAGAAGAAATGGGCTTCTTTCTTTGGGCAGCTCTTTTCTGCTACAGACTCCCATTCTGTAGTTGAGTCCCCAGTGATTTACCTGCCCAGGCTTCAGGTGGAGCATTCAGTGCACGTCATCCAGAAACACATGCACATATCCAATCACACCCACAGGCACAGGATGATCCCTGAGCACTTGGGGGAGCAGATATACAAATAGCAGCAAGACAATGGCCTCAGTGCCAAGTGGGGCACAAATGCATTTCTTTTTCTGGTCCCATCCCCCAGGAAGCATTTTCCTCTTGTTGAAAGGGGCAGGGAGGAGATGGCATGCAACTCCAGGACCTTTGGGGGATCCTGGAAGTGAACTGAGTAGAGTGGGAGGATTTGGGAGGGTTTCATGGGAAAGGATGAACACAGAGAGGACTCGTTGTTTGGTTCAGGAAGGCCAAGAGTGGGCACCAACTGAGCAGGTTCTACAAAGAAATGCTTTGGCTCTGTAGTGATTCTTGACAGAAGAAGGGAGATGTAAGGACAGACAACCTAGAGCAACAGCCCTACACAGCTAAATACCCAGCACACCACCAGTCACTTAGGAAGCTGTGTGCCTGTCATTTACACATACACCCCCACAAACCCCCACCCCCCACCACTGTTTCTGTGCTAAGCACATGGATATCCACTTCTTTCGCTTGAAACTGTGTGCCAGATAGCCCAAGATCAGCATCCTGCTGGGCACTCCAGATAAACTGGTCTCCATAGAGAAGTACTCCACAAGCATGGGAGAAGCCACTGTCAACAAAAGGCCCTTCTGAGGGTCCTGTGCAGTAGAAATCTGGGGGGTCACGTCAGCTTCTATAAGCTATCCAGTGAGCGCATACCTAGGACAAGATCTGGCTGGGTGAGAAAGCGGTAGCTGGTCAAGACCAAGTTTCTCTCTCTCTCTCTCTCTCTCTCTCCTCTCTCTCTCTCTCTCTCTCTCTCTCTCTCTCTGTGTGTGTGTGTGTGTGTTGTGTGTGTGTGTGTGTGTGTGTCGGGCGGTGGGGTCTTGAACTGAGTTGCTCAGTAGGAGGCTGGCACCCCCCTGTTTCCTGAGGTGCTGGATCGAATACTTTCTCTCTTGTCTCACATCTCAGTTTCCTTTTCTGAACTTGTCTGATCAAAGTGCACAGAGGAAGGTGATGACCTGGTCCTGTTTCCTTCCTCTTTGCTGCACTGAAGGACTCAGGGATTTGCTGTCACTTTTGACATCTCTCAGCGCCTCAGCCTCAGCACCCACAGAAAAGATGCGGCACTTGACTCCCCTCAAAAGGATTAAATTGTACATGCCCAGGAGAGGAGAGCGGGTTGGGGTGCCTGCTGGTGAGCAAGGGTGCGGCTAGAACTGGCCCCCAATCCTCCTGTAGTCCTGTGGGCCACCAGGAACCAACCTGCTGAGGTGGCAAGGGACAGAATAGCTAAGAGAAAGATCAGTTGTTAGAAGACTCTCAGTTCTTGCCTTCATCCTGATGGAACGGGGCAGGCAGAGTCCTAGCTTTATTTTTTAAGCCCCTCAGGTGCAGGCCCCTGGCAGCCGGCCCCTCTTTTCCCGTTGTCCCCATTCTGTGCAACAGACACACACACACACACACACACACACACACACACACACACACACACACACACACACACACACACACCCGGCGCGTGCACGAGGGCGGACATGGCGTGGGTACTGATGGGGACGCATAAAGGGGCTCTGTGCACCGCGCGGCGGTAGGGGCGCGGGGCGCGGGACACTGACCTGCGGCGGCGAGTCCATATCGTCCCCGGCGCGGTCCATCGCGGGTGGCAGGTCCTATGCTTTGGCCCCAGCGCCCCAAGGCTGCTGGCCGTGCGAGGCGCGCGCTTCTCTCTCGGGGCGTTCTCTCCGGCTCCGTGCCCTCGGGGGGCCACTTTCATAGCCGCGGGCCCGCTCGTCCACAGCCCCGGCCGGCCCGCTGCCACCGCCCGGCTGCTTCTGGGCTCAGCCAGGCGGCGGCCGGAGCCCCGGAGCGCTCGGGAGGGCGCGGGCGGCCGAGGCGCCGGGCGGCGACAGGAGCCCCAAGAGGCGACGCGCGGGCCGGCCGGGCCGGGGTGGCGGGGGCGCGCGGCCGGAGCCCAGCAGAGCGGGCCAGCGCGTGGTGCCCTCGGCGCTGGCGGCGGCGGATGCGCGGTGCGGCCGCGGCTTGTGACAGCGCCTCCCGCCCCCGCCCCCCACGCGCCCCGCCCCCCGCGAGCGCGAGCTGCCGGCGGGGACCCGGAGCCACGAGCGGGTCCGTACCAACCTCGCGGGCTGAGGCGGGGGCCGACGCTGGACCCCTCCCCGAGCTTGGTATCACCTCCCCGCGTTCCCCCGCAGTGGCCCTCCGGTTGGGGCGGCTTGGGCTTCGGGTGCTGGAGCGGCTGCGGGTGGGGCCCAGGGCACCCCAGCTTTGGCTCGAAGGATGAGAGCGCGCCGCTCAGCCCGCAACCCCCCCCCCCCCAGCCCATCCGCCCCCATCCCTCCATCCTGGCTGCTCAGGCCCCTGGCTTGGCAGACTCTCTCAAAGGGCGATTGTTTCAAGGCTGGGATGGTGTGGGTGGGGGGTGGGGGGTGGCGCGGGGGACCGTTCTGCGGGGACTAAGACTCTGAGCTGGAGACCGAAGGAGGGTGCGGCCCCCAGCTTGGCTTCGGACAATCCGAAGTGGATACAAGGCTGATTGTGTGGGTTGGAGATGAGAGTCCCCGGGAGCCTGCCAGTGGGGCGGCCCCACCTGTGGGCACTGTTTCTTTCTTAAGGACATAGTCAAGCTGTTGAGTGTCACTCTCTCCTCTCCCGCCCCAACGTAATGCGCTGGACATTCTAACAAGGAGGCAGGAGGCACTGCCTAGTGCAGAGGAGCCAAGCCATGGCCAAGGTGGGTGGGCAGGCCATCCAGGAATTTCTCAGCACTGGGGGGCTGGGAGGCAGGTAGTGGTGTGTGTGTGTGTGTGTATGTGTGTGTGTGTGTGTGTGTGTGTGGGGGGGTGTTCGCACAGGGGGCCATGCAGCCATCCAGCGGGAGGTTTTCTAAAGCTTTTGTCCACTTGCCAGAGCCTAAGACACCATCCATGTACATTCCTGATGGTCCTCTCTGACACCTGTGAGGCAGGGCCTGCAGCTGTGTCCTCGTGAGAACTCCAAAAGGCCAGTTCCTGTTAACATCGGTGCTTTCTCCAGGCTCTGTCTCCTCCCTCCTTACCCCGAGGATCCACAGCTAGGCATTGCTGGATCAAAGTGTTCTTTGACGCTCGTCCCACCCCACCCCCCCCCCATCATCATTGCCCACAGGTCTTCACCATCCCCTCAGCCTGGTGCTCCTCTTGGGTGTGGGGACTCCAGAACCACTTTGGTTGTTCAAGATGCAGAGGTCCATGTCATCCCATAGATGATAGAAAATCATAATTATTGTCTCTAGAGAGAGACTTCCTCCAGACTCTTCTCCCCTTACTCCATGACAGGGAGCTCAGGCTATGCTGCTCCTCTACATCTCCCCGAGTTAACCATACCACTCACAATGACCCAGTGGCAGGGCAGATAAGGCCTGGGAGACTGGTTCTTACCAAAAGGGAAACTCATGCCCCCAGACAGGACCATTCATGTGTGGGGGTCATACCCACCTCCTCATCTCTCTCCCAGGACTGCGCCCAATCCCCAGGAGAGGAAGTTCCAGACAATGGTGGAGTAATGAACAGGTTGAAGGTACTAGCCAAGTGTCCTGGCCAGAGATCACCCTCTGAGCCCATCTCCTTAGTAATAAGACAGACTTTCCGTAAGCTGTCAAGCTCTTGTCTGGTCCCGCAAGGCTGTGGCCCACAAATGTCCTCTGGCTGTTCTGTGGGGTGGTTCCTCCTCTAGCTTGGAGTTCAACCAGATGAAACACAAATAGTTGCAAGTTTTCTCTCACCATTCTTGTGAGAATAACAGTGATAATAAAACCCCATTCTGGAGCCCTGTCTTGCAAGTTAGCCTCAGGCTCTGTTTATGGTGTTTTTTAAAGTATTAATTTATAAAGTCAACTTGAAACAATAATGTGATATTAAAGTTAGCATGAGAAGGCCCAGCGAAAAGACAACAGCTTGCCTTCATTTTGGCAGTATTCCACTGGTGTGGACCCACAGATACATATGTCTATGTACACACACAGTGGTGCACACAGATACACAAGTAAGCACAGAAAAATGAGTGCAAATACATGGTTTCTCATCTACCTCGTGTGCATGTGTGAGTGTGTGTACTGCCTGCACCCTCCTGCTCCCCCCAGGCCTTCACCAGGGGTCTCAGCTAGAGTTGCCACTTTCCTGTGCTCTTTGTGGAAAGGCAGCAGTGTTTCCATTCCACATCTGGATTTCCTGCATCCCCACAACTTGGTCCTTGCTCCAAACATCTGGAGCATCTCCTAGATCTCCCTGAATGGCTCATCTTTCCTTACTCCCCGTCTTCTGCAGGAAAGAGCCCCTCTTCTCAGAGGTCCCCAAAGCTCATCACCAGAATGTTTAGTATGCAAAGCTCGGGCCCTGTCTGCCTTCTGTTCATTGTGTAGTTAAGCAGGACAGCAGCCTCGCTCCATCCTCTGATTCTGGCCTAGTTCCCATAATCTGAATCCCCGAAAGGTCCCATAAAAGCATCAATCTGCAATGCAAACCCCCCCAAAATCTGGGACCAGATCACCTGTGCCCAAATTTCATATGAATAGTAATGAGTTTAGTCTTGTTGGTTCATTGTTCCCCTAGTGGTTTCTCTGCTTGGCTCTCTTTCATAGGAATCTTTGCTCTGCTCCACGCCTGTCACTGGTGGTGTCTTTTCAGGCCATTCTTTCCTTCTCAGCTAACTATGCAAGGGACTAAGACAACTGAGCTATGCCCTGGCCCCAGGCTGTAGCAGGCTTTCTTTTAGGTTACCAATGAGCTCCCAAATAAAGACACAGGGATTTCTCATTTCTTATGAATGCTCGGCTTTGTCTTATGCTTGTCCCACTAGCTCTTATAACTTAAATTGATGTGTTTCTCTTTATCTATATTTTGCCTCAGGGCTTTTCCCCTTCCTTTTGTTCTGTATGTCCTACTCTGGCTGGCCCTGGACATCTCCCTCTCTTTCTCCCTTGTTCTCTTCTATCTTGAGCCTCGATTCCTTCTCTTACTTATCCCCTCTGGCCTCAAGCCCACCTATCCCTCTTCTGCATAGCTATTGGCCATTCAGCTTTTAATTATTAGACCAATTAGGTGCCTTAGGCAGGCAAGGTGAAACAGCAACACATCTCTGTGTAATTAAACAAATGCAGCATAAACCAATGTAACACATCTTTGCCTCGTCAAAGTAGCACACTGCACAACACAAGGCCCTTGTTCTGCCTGCCTCTTTAGTCCCTCTTAGCTGTCTGGTGGCTGAGGCTCTGTTTTGAGGGAGTCTCCTGCTATCCCTTCTCTTGCATTGGGGCTCTTCAGGAGTAATTTCAGCCCTTAGAATGGACAGGCCCAGTGAGGTGTCCCTCATTCCCCAGTGCATGAGCTCACCTGTCATGGCCCAGGCAGGGACATATCAACATGTGCATGCCCACCAGGTGCATTCTCACCCAGAAGTACAGTGGAGAGAGGAAAGCAGTCCTTTCTCTGGACAGGTGCTTAGGGTTCCTGGGGATGGGTTATGTATGTCCTACTCTGGCTGGCCCTGGACATCTCCCTCTCTTTCTCCCTTGCAAAGTTTGGCAGAAAATTTCATAGGATATATGTCCTCAGAGGCTCTTTACTGATTGTGTGGATGTGCTATTTGAAGGTGGTTGAGTTCGTGGCTCTGAGAAAGGTGAGCACACCTTTCCACTCTTCCCTTTTATTAAGAGGCTTTTGGTCCTGATTTGGGAACTCAGATACCCTTATTTCTCCAAGGCAGACTGGAAGTGGTCATTTGATCACAAAGACTCTCAAGCTCCCTTCTTGTGCTCCATTCCTGCCTCCTCTGAACTCCATTCATTGCCATGGTGCAGCTGCACAGCTTTAGAATACTTGTGTAATTTACTGACTGCCCTTTGCATTTGGGAGCTGAGGGAGATGGGAGCAGAGCCCTGTGCCTTGGGAGAGACTCTCTCAGAGGCAAGTCTAGGACGTAGCTGTGTGCTCTGGGGGAAGTGAGAATAACCCGGGTTACCTATAACCTTCCTACCTGCTCCTCCAGAGTCTCCCTGGAACTCCTTCTAACATAGGCAGAGCTACTGCTCTCCCACAGCCTCTGATGAGTCTCAAATATGAGCTGCCCCTCCCCTGATCCCAGCTACACGTACCTGGGTTCTGGAAGGTTTGGTTTTTTTTTTTTTGGACAGGGTTTCTCTGTATAGTTTTGGTGCCTGTCCTGGATCTCTCTCTGTAGACCAGGCTGGCCTTAAACTCACAGAGATATGCCTGGCTCTGCCTCCTGGGTTCTGGGATTAAAGGTGTGCACCACCACAGCCCAGCCCTGGAGGTTTTTTTTTTATTAGATGTACATGCTTTCATTTGTTCCCCTAATTTCTATTGAGCTTCTGTCATATCTCAGTCCACAGAGTTAGAACAAGGATTGACAGCCACCAAACAGCTAACATTGATAAGGCCTTTTCATGGACCAGGCAAGAGTCTAAGTCTTCCTGTGCATTATCTGATTTCATGACATAAGGTGTTATTTATGAGGCACCATTTATGACAAGGCTCTATTATGATTTTCACTGTAGAGGTCAGCAATCTAGAGCATAGTGTTTAGGTAATTTAATCAAGGTCACCAGCTCAGCAGTGACAAAGTTGGCTTTGAATCAGGTGGTTGAGCTCCAGCACTCAGCTCTTCATCATCAGAGTACCTCAGGAGTTTGAGAGCTGCTGGGTGCCAAAGAGTCAGAGCACATACGGATGGAGAATGAGCTGTAGGAGGGAAATAACAGAGTCGAAGTTCAGAGAAGATGTTGGGACAAGGAAGGACTATTTAAGGAAGTCACGTCTGAGCTGAGACCTGCAGAGTGTAACACTGGGAATGGTGGTTGGGGCTGGCCAAGAGACTAGTAAGGCAAGACCACTGTTGGAAAAAGGAACCAATCAAGATTAGTAAAGCTGTAAAGCAGTGGGTAAGGAATCTGAGAAAGAGCGACACAGACAGACAGACAGACAGACAGACAGACACAGACAGAGAGACATACATACATACAGACACACACACACACAGAGAGAGACAGAGAGACAGAGAGAAAGAGAGAGAGACAGAGAGAGAGAGAGAGAGAGAGAGAGAGAGAGAGAGAGAGAGAGAGGGAGGGAGGGAGGGAGGGAGGGAGGGAGGGAGGGAGAGAGAGAGAGAGAGAGAGAGAGAGAGAGAGAGAGAGAGAGAGAGAGAGAGGAAGAGCCACGAATTGAGAAAGACAGTCTCTCTTTGGACTTTGACCATGACTGATATCCTGCACTGATGTCTTCCAGAGAAAAGCTGTTCAATAAATATGATGGATGTAGTTGTTTAATTTCCTGCCTAAATGCTCCTCCATAGCTGGGTGATGAGCAAACATCTTAGACATCTGGGTATTGGAAGAGCTTCTGCAGAAACAACTTGACACAACTTTGTTTTGGGACTTGGAAAATGTGGGAAAGGAGTAAGAAGACATCTCTCATGGGTTCTCTAGCTCCAGCATCGACTCATTCATCCATCCATCATCTATCTTTCCTTCCTGACTTCAAGGACTTCTTTAGCTATGAAATTTTCTAGGTGCTTGAATCACAGAAATGAAAGCCTGGTTTCTACTTCCAGGCCAATTGTTCTTTCAAGAACGAAGTTTCCACATCTCAATGTTCCCATCTGCCTTTCCTCTTGTGCCCCACCATTGAATTCCTCTGCACAAAGGAGGAGGCAGGCAGAGGGCAGGTTTTGGGGGCAGAT